GTGCTGCTTGATGCCACTGGAGTCCGAGATCCCCCTCCGGCCCAAACTGAACCCCCAAGTACGCCGTCGATCCCTGGATATCGAACTCCTGGCACTCAGGCAATTCACTGGCTAGCCAACCTCGGATGCTATGAGCGATCTCCAGAGTGCACTGAGCCCACAGTGGCACGATGCAGCATTTGGCAGGCTGGAGACGCAGGAACGCGTGCTCAGCAACATCATTAAAGTGAGGCATCATGTCTTTCAGCGTACACAACTGTGGGAGCACTGCGCCTACGTCATCAGCACATCCTCCTACCTGGCCTGGGATCTGACTCTGGTCAGCGGGGTGTTCAACAGCTTGGGAGAGCAAACGAATCACTGGATCGAAAATGAGGGCCCATACAGACCCCGAGAGAGGACATCCTTGGAGGACGCCACTGCAGATATGGAAAAGAAAATGCAATTCACCTCCGAACCGTCCGAAGCCCCTAGGGCAGAAGTAGAGCGAGTGGAGAAGGTTGAGGAACCCTTGGGGGACTCCGTGACGGCGGAGAATCTCGAACAACCATTGGTGTCCCACGGAGGGGAACGCGGCGGCAATATCAAATGACACAAAGCATGGCCAAAGCTCTGCAGCATTCTCTGATGCGCTGAGAGCTCTGGCAGAGGCGTCCATAAATATGATGTTGCGGGCGAAATTCCTTCCTATCACAAAGCCTCTCTGGTTAGGGTGCACTATTTTGGCGACCGCCTGGCGCAGCACAAAGTTCGATGCACTGGCGATGATTTTGGTATCAGTGTTGCGCAGCGAGAGAGGGCGCACCTTGCTAGCCTGCCTGACACAGTCGAAGTGATCTTCTGGCAACGACCCCTCCAGCAGGAAAGCGAACACAGAATCATTAAGATCGCGTGGCACATAGTCACCACGAAAAAGGTGAAGGGCGAGGTCATGCAAGACATCCAGCTGCTCGGGGATAGCGGCCCACGCGCGGTAAGTGAACCCATCAGGCCCTGGAGCAGAGATACGAGCGCGAAGCAAAGCCTTCTCGAGGCCCGCCCGCGACGGCACAGGGAGGCCACCTAGGCCACGGCCGGCCCAGGGGCAGCCGAGGCGGTCCACGTACGTACGGAGCTTGACAGGGTCCACTACCTTGGCCTTAAACACTTCCCCCCAATGGCTAGAGAGCGCAGCGCGGATATCTTCTGCTGAACGCGCCACTGGAGAAGCGTCGGAGGGTGGTGAGGCTGGAGCCAGCGTCTCAGGACGCACTCCCTGCAGAACAAGCGAGCTGCCTTTCGGGCGCCAAAGTCGGGCCTTACGCTGTAGCGAACGCTGGTGACGACGCGCAGCGTCAGCCGAGAGACGATCACCTGACGCGGCAGCTTGCTGAGCTAAGGCAGCAGCTCGGGATTGGCGGCGTGCAAGCGCGGCAGCGCTGGTGTCACGAAAAAGGGCACTAAAGATATCAGGCTCGAGGAGAGAGAGAGAGAGGTGGCCGAGAGAGAGAGGAAACGAGCTCCGAGAATCGTGGTGGCCTGCAGGGTAGCCCCGACCCGAAGATCTTGCCTCCAGATGGCCCTCGCAATGGCTCTCAGCGTGACCAGACGGGCCTCCAAAGCATTGGGGTCCTGCGAGACCATCGGGAGGCCTTGGAGCTCATTACGGGTCTCACGGGCGGCTTCCCACATGTATTGTTTCATATATCTCCAGCGTACCTCCGCTGGCACATGTGATATGTCTACAGCGGAGACCAGGGCGGCAAGTTTCGCGCGATAGCGCGGGTCTTGGAAAATAAAGTCAGGGATACGTTGTTCATTGTGCTGACCCGTGCCACGATTCTAAAACGAAAGCGAAACCAACGCGTGATCACTCAAACGAGCGTCGGACATTTGGCATGGGTCAGCATGAACTTCCATCACCGCATCGATCTCAAGCATGTATTCCGAGGGAATCCCCAGGAAAACACGATCAAGAGTGTTCGCTGTGAAATGCTGGCGGTTAAATCTTGTCGGAAGCTCTGTGCATACCTCAGTGGCTGCATGCATGAGCGGTCTCCAGAAGCTTTCCAGAGGGGCCATATGCGTATCAACAGCAAGACGGGCACTGCAGGGCTCAGGGTTCTGGTAGCTCACAGGGGCACCAGCAGCGATGTTGAAGTCGCCCAGCGCGATGAAGGTCCTCCGCAGCGGCTCCTCCTTACACCATGCAAGCGATTGCTGCCATACTTCTCGAATGCGAGGGAGAATGCGGGGTTCCAGCTCATAATTGTGGACATTCATGATCTTCATTGCAAACTTTGTCTTGGGATTGAGGATGCGGACAAGCTGAACGCGCCCATCAGCAAGAACTTCATGATTGATACTTGGTTGATCTTCGAGGGGTGCTGATTGCGCCGTCATCCGAGAGGGTAGAGGAACCAGTATGGCAACACCGCCCGCGCCAGAGCGTCCGTCGCCAGTGGTGTCCACCGAGTTGGCCAGGAGCTTGAAGGCCTCCACGACGGCAGACTTGTCAATGGTAAACCTCTCAACCGTGGGGCCATGCCAGATGAACTTCGCGGGATCATCAGCACCAGCAATCTCGAGGACCACGACGGGGACACGGTCGACCATGACCACGCCCTTGGTCCTCTGGCACGAGATGTCCAGCCGAGGGTGTCGCTCAGCCAGCACACGTTGCGCCTTCTTCGTGTGGAGCTCCAATCGTACTTGGCGTGGGGCCTTATCAGGACTGATGTAGATCGGGGTCTGTGCCCCCTGGGTGTTCTGTGCCACGAAGTTGCGCCAGCCAGCCGAGGTCCTGAGACCTTGCGCCAGCGCCAGCGCACGAGGACGGGCAACCTCATCACCACCAATCGTGCGCAAGAAGAACTTGCGCGATGGGACCTGGCCGTCGAGCTCGATCTGGTCCATGGTGAGGCCCGACTCTGTGACCCAGGCCTGGACGGCCCTGCGCACCTCCAGCGGTGCGATGGCCGACGGAGCACCGATGGTGAAGAGGGTTGGCTCCGCCTGCCTCTCCCACTGTGCCAACTTCGCCGTGTCGAATGCGGAGGCCTGTGCCTCAGCCAATGCAATCGTCCTCTCCATGCGTGCAACCGTGTCTCGAATCCTATCCTGCTCACGTTCTTGATCATTTTGCCGACGTTGGATGTCGGCGATGGTGTGGCTGTGCTGGTCGACCCTTGCGTTCGTGGCGAGAATCTGTTTGAAGCACATGCGCATGCTCGACTGGAAATCGTCCTGGGCCTTCTTGAGGGTCTCATTGCAGACAGCCTGCAGCTTGGTGGAAGCGACATCAATCTGTGTGTTGAAGAGGTCCTGCATTCTTTTGTCAAACTCATCGGCTGTAGGTATACGTCCATTCCATGGGTCTCCAGCTCCCTCATGCCAAGGGTCTCTAGGTGCACCGCTGGGGGGGCCTGCAGGACGACCTCGCTGGGAGGCGGCGGCGGCATCACTGGCGGGGCCAGGTGCGGCGGCACTGCTGCTAGCCCCCATTGCGGGTGCACCAGCTGCTGGATGAGGCTCACCATCAGCACGGGCGCCTGCACGAACCTCTTGTGATGGCAGCGTCGGCGCAAGATCAAGCGCCGCTGCCAGGGATGCATCACCCATTCGTTCCTGCGACGGGAAAGTTGGCATTGCTTCGAGCTGTGCGAGGGTGGCGGCTGTCGCCTCCCTGCGTGAGCGGCGTTTGCGCCGTGCGCGCTCAGCACTAGCACTGCCATGTCGTGGGGCGGACTTCGAAGCACGCTGCCTGGCGTCCACGGAGTCCTCTGAGGCTGAGCTGCCGTCGTCGAGGTGGTGCACCTCGGGTCCGCTGCCACGCGCTGCCATGGGTGCGCAGCAGGAGCAGCAGACTCAGGGAAGGGCAGCCCTGAGTTGCACACAGAAGATGAAAGTAGTAGGGCCAGGGGCCCGATAGAAAGCGCGAGAGTGTAGCAAGAGTGGCTCAATCTGTGCCGTGGGGACCGGGTGTGGGCAGCCTGGACCAACTCCACCCCTCGCCCCAGCGACATCTTGAGCCAAAATGGCTACGGAGGAGGAGGAGGAGGAGGAGGAGGAGGAGGAGGATCGGGGACAGGAGGATGAGGGAGAGGAGGGGGAGGGGGAGGGGGAGGGGAGGGGGAGGGGGGAGGGGGAGGGGGGGGAGGGGAGGAGGGGGAAGAGGAGGAAGAGGAGAGGAGGAAGAGGAGGAAGAGGAGGAGGAAAAGGAGGGGAGGAGGAGGAGGAGGAGGAGGAGGAGGAGGAGGAGGAGAAAGGAGGAGGAGGAGGAGGAGGCAGAGGCGTGGGGGGCGGGGGCGAACGAGGAGATGGAGAGGGAGGGGCGTGCCGAAGAAGGGGCAACACGCGCCGAGGCCCCTTCCGGCCAGGCCTCGACGGATTGCAGGCAGGGGCGCAGGGCTGACCTTGGGCAGGAGTGACCTGGCGTGCGCAGCTTGCCGACTGCTGCCTGCGGTGCGGCAGCAGTGGCCTGCGTGCTGGGGCATGGCGCCCCCGCGGCCCCGGGAGACCCCGCACCAGGGGGTCCCTCCAGCAAGGGCACTCTGGCGCGGGCTCCAGGGATGGACCCCTGGAGGGGTCCAGGGTGTGCTTTCGCGCGGCGAACGGCGCCAACGTGGTACGCCACAAAGAAGATTGGACGCTCGTGCGCGACCTTACGCGGGCAACTTGCGCATGAATGCCCGTGCCATCCATCCCGCTGTTTCACGTCGCCCACTTGAGCCTAGATGCGCGAGGATCGCCGAAAGCGAACACAAAAAAAGACCGACGGAACCTGAAGCACCTTCCGAGACCGAACCAGCCCTTCTGCCAAGACTCTGACTGTGCTCATCGGGCAAGGCTTGGGGTTGTGCACAGAAAGCCCCCGGAGGTCGCCCGATTTTGCCCCGACGGGCCCGACGAGGAGCTTCCCGAGGGGCCAACAGACTCCAGACGGGGATACCTCAGGTAGCTGACTATGCCCAACCGAGCCGTGCCAGTGCTGCTCATCCGTCCCTCCGGGCCGAGGTCGCCTCTGCAGCTCGACTATCCTGGTCGTGATTTCCAGAAGCACCCTGCTTCGCCTGGCGATCCGGGTATGCTCGGCCGGAAACGACTCGTGATAGGCACCGGGAAGCTCCAGACAAACAAGTTGCAACATAGAGACACATACATGTGTATGTAATTTGATGTACATGTCCGCTCGCTATATCTGTATGTATGTGTGCATGGCTGTATGTATGTACGTATGTATGTATACATCTGTGGTAGACCCGGGGGGCATCTTGACAAATGCAAGCCCGAAGAAACCCGTACACTCGAAACCACTATGACACAACTCAGTCCAAATCAGTAAGACATCAATCCAATGGAAAGCAGGTGTGCGAACGACGAAAACAATAAGAAATCCGAATCAGGGGAACCAGTCAGTACTGAATCCATACAACTGAAAATGATAAGACATCCATATAATGGAAAGAGCGTGTTCTACCGCTGCTGGCGGAAAACCGGGGGGGGTCACTACCGGTTCGAACCCCTCCCCCCCCCCCCCCCTCCGGAAAACCGGGGGGGTCACTACCGGTTTCGAACCCCTCCCCCCCCCCCCAGCTCATCATGAAAAGGGGGGGGGGTCACTACCGGTTCGAACCCCCCCCCCCTCGAAAACCGAGTGGGGGTGCGGACAGTGGTGGGGACGGTGTTGGTGGGGACAGTGGTGAGGGGACAGCGGGACAGTGGTGGGGACAGTGGGGGGACAGTGGGACAGTGGTGGGGACGGTAGTGGTGGGGACAGTGGTGGGGACAATGGTGGGAACAGGGGGGACAGTGGACAGTGGTGGGAACGGTGGTGGTGGGGACAGTGGTGTGGGGACAGTGGGAATGAGGTGGAAACACTGGGACAGTGGAGGGTACAATGGTGGTGGGGACACTGGTAAAGGCGGTGGCGAGGACGGCGGTGGGACAATGGGACAGAGGTACAGTGGGGACAGTGGTGGGGACAGTGGGGACAGTGGTGGAAACAGTGGGACAGCTCAGTGGGACAGCGGAGGAGTCAGTGGGACAGTGGGGACAGTGGGGATAGGCAGTGGTTGGGTCCGTGGAGACAGTGGGGAGAGTGGAACCGTGGTGGGAACAGTTGTGGGAACAGTGGGGACAGTGCGACAGTGGTGGGGGCACTGGTGGGGACAATAGGGACGGTGGTGGAACCAGTGGGGACAGTGGTGGTGAGGACAGTGGTGCTGGGAACAACAGTGGGGGATGTGATGCGAGCGGTGGTAGGGACCGGGAGTCGTTTGCTGGCGGTGCGTGGGGGGGGGGTCGAACCGGTAGTGACCCCCCTCCGGTTTTCGAGGGGGGGGGGGGGGGGGGGGTTCCAACCGGTAGTGACCCCCCCCGGTTTTTCGAGGGGGAGGGGGGGGGGGGGAGGGGTTAGGGGAGGGGGGGGGTTTTGCCGGGAAAGAGGGGGGGGAGGGGGGGGGGAGGGGTTCCAGCAGGGGGGGGGGATTTTCGGAGGGGGGGGGGACCCCCGGGTTCCGGAGGAAATGGTTGGCAATTTTCCACAGTAAAGCGGCGGTGGATCACGCTCTCTCATATAATGAAGAACGTCATGCTACATACGTATATATGTATATGCACATACAATTGAAAACGATAAGGACGCCGAACGCATTCATTTACTGGAGGACAGCACAAGAATATGTGCCGACCCTGTCGGCGTGTGGAAGAGGCTGTTCCGTTCGACTCGTAATTTAGCAAAGTTGTAGTTGAGTCGAGAGAAGCCCCTTCCCTTTGATCCCTTCCCCGCCAGGGGGACGGTCCCGGGGGGGGCGGTCCTGGGGTCCCGGGGAGGTCCCGGGGGGGGCCGGGGCAGATACGACTCCCCCTCAACCCAGATCATGCGTTACCGAAAAATTTGGGGAACGAGCGGGAACGACCGAGACCGACCGTTACCGACGAAATTTCGGGCTCGGTCGGTCGCGGTCGGTCGCGGCCGATGTGCCTGTTTCGGGCTCGGTCGGTAACGGGTTTCCTGACGAATTCGGCGTGTTGAGACTGACAAACGCACCCTCCGCTACCGTCCGTTACCGATCCTTGCCGACCGCTACATTCGCTTTAAACTCACGTATGACGGTGCGTACATATCTAGATGCGTTCGTATATTCACACGCTTACTGTACCTTACCATCGACTTACTGCGGCTATTACCTGTACCTTACCATCGACTTACTTACCTTACCATCGACTTTACCATCGACTTACTTACCTTCATACGTTCAAGTTGGCCATTACCTTCGACTGTACTGCGGAGAAGGGCGGGGGAGGGACGTGGAAGAGGAAGGAAGGGAAAAGGGGGAGGTGGCAGGAATGAGGGAGGGCGCAGGGGCGGAGAAGGAAGGAGATGCAGAGTGAAGAGGAAGGAGGTTGGGGAGGAGGTTGAGGAGGTAGACGGAGGGAGGAGGACCGCGCCGTTCGGGCCGCCTTTTCGTGCGCGGGGCCCGATCTGCAGCCTCCTCGGGGCCCTCCAGCCGCAGCAGCCCGCGGGAGAAGGAGGGGAACGAGAGTGGACGGCGGGGTGACAGGGGTGGAGGGGATCGAGGGGGAGGCCAAGGGGATGGAGGGGATCAAGGGGGAGGAGATGGCACGGGGGATGGACACATTGGGACGCCTGTATAGGGGGCGAAGGGGGGAGAGGATTCGCAGGGAGAGGACGACGACGAGGATGATAATTACGAAGAAAGGGAGATATCGCGAGGTGGAGGAGGGAGCAGAATGGCGAAATTCCTGTCTCTTCTTTTTCCTCCCCCCCTTCCTTCCCCCCCTCCTCCTCCGTCTCCCCCACCTTCCTCCTCCCCCCCTTTCTCCTCCGCCTCCTGCCCCCGCCCCCCTCCTTCCCGTCCCCCCCCCCCTCGAACAAATAGCCCCCGTCGTTCCCCCGTGGGACAGGTGGTTGCAGAGCGGGGGGAGACTGCGCAGCGGGGGGGCCTGGCGCCTGGCGCGCCTAGTCTAGGCAGCACCTCGTGAACTCCAAATCCGACGCCCACGCGTGGGCAGGCGCATGACAACGAGGGATAAAACAAACCCTACTCTGGGTTACAAGTGTGCGGCCTGTAAACCTCCTGGGAACCCCCAAAGCCTAGAGCTGCCAGGACGCGGCGCATCACGCAGGGTTTGCCTTGTCAGCCCGCAGGAGTTTCAGCGCACAGCGCCTCGTAAACCAGGGTAGGGGCGTTTTTTTTATGCCCTTGATGAAAGACACCGCCCAAAAGGACAAGAAGGATGAGGGGGGCAGGAGAAAGAGGAGGAGGAGGAGGAGGGGGAGGAGGAGGAGGAGGAGGAGGAGGAGGAGGAGGAGGAGGGGTGGGGAGGAGGGACATAGGGCACAGGCTGGGGAGGGAGAAGAGGTGAGGGAGGGAAGGAGTGATCGGGATGATAGGTACAAGCGGCGACGATGAAGACAACCGACGTCGCGGGGGTCGAGGGGCGAAACGGGCGGAACATAGGAAAGAGGGAAGAAATAAGTCGGGGCCGTCCCCTTCCCACTCTGCATCCTTCCCCGTCGTCCTCCCCCATTCTTCCCTTCTCTTCGCCCCCACTGCTCTTCTGCCTCCCCTCCGCCCTCTGCGCCCTTCCTCGCCCTCCGTCTCCTCGCCCTCGTCATCGTCCTCGTCCTTCTCCTCGTCCACCTCCTCCATCCCTCCTCCTCCTCCTCCCACTCCCCCTCCTCCTCCTCCTCCCCCTCCTCCTCCTCCTCCTCCTCCTCCTCCAAGGTACGGGTGCTTCATGGACGAAGTCCGCTATATGCCTCCCGCACCGAATCCTATCGGCAATTTTGCTACTGACCTGGTTGATGGGAGTCCCTATGGCGCAACCACTCCCAACCCGCGTAATGAAACGCTGAAAGTCCTCGGGTTGGTAGCACCACGTGAATCTAGGATTCAGTGGCGTTTGCCTCACTAAGTGGAACAGAAAGTGGTGTTTGTGCACCACCGAGTACTTCAACTTCGGCCTGGGGACATCATTGAACGCCTGGTCCGACAAGTACTGATAGCACGTGAGGAAGTCGTCACCAGCTTTAATCAGCCTATGACACTCTGGACCAGTGAGAAACATGCCACCACTATCTATCACCTCATACGCCTTTTGCAACGACTTCCACATCAACACGCGAATCTTTGAGCGGTCCGACCCGTCGCAATAATCTTGCGCCAGCCGCAGACACACGTTCACCAGGCCACGGACCTGGGCGGCCTTAATGGCTTTTGACAAAACAGGAAAGTCCTTATGAGGCGAGTTCGTGTCAGATACAAAGAGGCCGAGCTTGAAGGAATTCATACGATGCTCGGTGCCTTCTTCCACGTAAAGGGCCTGGATGCGGCGCCATAGGCGCTCGATCCTGCCAGCTCGAGGCCCGTGTTCTGACTCGAACACTATCTCATACCACAAGTTGGCAACGCTGTGGGCTGTCGTTCCGAGGTCCATTGTATGCATGACGTCTAGAGCGAGGGTCGCGAGGGACGTGCCCCAGATGTCGAAAAATGGGTGATCTACTGGGTAAGGCCGAACGTGGTGCCTCCAATGATCTGGAGAATCACCGTTGAAGTTGTTGTACGGGTTTGTGGTCTTGTTACACGGGCACAACCAGCAGAACTCATCACACCCCGAAGCTGGCATACCTAAATATGAGGAATAAAATTCCAGGTCCCCAAGTACTGCGTATACAAATGCCCTGTATTTAGTGTCCTCATCTGTCAACCACTGCCCTGCCAACCTCTGCCTACTTGGGTCCAGGCGGCCGCCCTTCCAATCCGACCCCCTCAACCAACCGAGGGACCGCGGCAGGGTCGGACACGACATCGACGAACGAACTCTCCCTCGTTCCCCGCCTACCTTCCCGCCCACGCCACCACCCTGCCTCCGTCCACTGCCGAGCTTGTTCTACCAGCTGCACGGAGGCGCAGACTGCGCGCTGGCCGCGCTGCCGCGCGAGGCGATGCTAGTCGGGGCCGCAGGCGCCACGGATGCAAGAGGAAGCTGGGAGATGAGATGAGAGGCTGACCCCACAGACCAAAACCTCTTCCCCCACCTC